CATGACAGCACCTTTACCCCCACCCGCATCCTCTCCCAGCAAAGGATGGGAATGATGAAAGCTCCTCACCACAGCCCCATCCTGCGAGGCCCAAAGAGAGCTCTGCTGCCTTTGAAGTTGCTTTCAAAGGCTCTCACAATGGTGAGGAGCATGGTTTTGATTTGCAGCTTCTTTTACAGCATTATAAAAAGAGCTGCGAACTCGACAGCACCTTTACCCCCACCCGCATCCTCTCCCAGCAAAGGATGGGAATGATGAAAGCTCCTCACCACAGCCCCATCCTGCGAGGCCCAAAGAGAGCTCTGCTGCCTTTGAAGTTGCTTTCAAAGGCTCTCACAATGGTGAGGAGCATGGTTTTGATTTGCAGCTTCTTTTACAGCATTATAAAAAGAGCTGCGAACTCGAACCAGAGCCATAAAATCACAGGGGGGACACTGCTGCATGGAGAAAGCTGGGCCTGGCTGGAGCTGCCGCCAGCTCCGTGCTCAGCATCCCCCAGGAGGGAGGCAGCCCTGGCTGTAGGGCGCTGGGTGGTCCTCAGCACCCATGGGCACCTGTGGGGTCCCCAAGCCATGGACCAGAGCAGGACCAGTGGGGCTGCCCCGAGAGCATCCCAATGCCCTGATCTGCTGTGCCCTGTGGCTCAGCACCAAATTCCCCTTAGCCTGAAGGTGCCAGGGGAGCTGAGGCTGGATGTGGCAGCCAGCAGAGGTGACAGGACTCGATTTACCCATGTGCAGGGCGGTCTCCATCCCAGCCCCTCCTTGGCCAGCTGCTTGAGCCTGTTGCTCACTCCCCACCGTTTCTCTCCCCGCGGCAGGCAGCCGAGAGGCCGCCCTTTTCCATGCCGGGGTGGTCTACGCCATCACGCGGGCCTGCAGCCAAGGGGACCTGAAGGCCTGCGGCTGCGACCCGCTCAAGAGAGGCCGCTCCAAGGACGAGCGCGGGGAGTTCGACTGGGGCGGCTGCAGCGACAACATCAACTACGGCATCCGCTTCGCCAAAGCCTTTGTGGACGCCAAGGAGAAGAAGGTGAAGGACGCCCGGGCGCTGATGAACCTGCACAACAACCGCTGCGGGAGGATGGTGAGTGCAGCCCCTGTCGTCCTGCCCTGTGCTCAAGTGTCCCACCAGGACCTCCCAGCAGGGGCATGGGCAGTGGGAGCAGCTTGGGTGTAGGAGCAGGACTCTGGGTGCCCACAAAGGTCATCCCAGTGCCCCCCCCATATGCTTTGCCCAGGGAACGTCCCCACGGGGATGGCAGGACCCCACATACCTTTGTCCTGGCGCGTCCTCGCTGGTGGCATCAGTGGCCATGGGAATGGTCCTCCGTAGACACCACCGCTCTCCCATTGGGAGCCCAATCCCAGGCTGGTACCAGGGACCACCCCAGCGTGGTGCCCGATGCGCAGGGGGACACCCGGCCCTCACGGCATCCCTCTTCCCGCAGGCTGTGAAGCGATTCCTGAAGCTGGAGTGCAAATGCCACGGTGTCAGCGGCTCCTGCACGCTAAGGACTTGTTGGCTGGCCATGTCGGATTTTCGGAAAACGGGGGATTACCTACGGAAGAAATACAATGGGGCCATCCAGGTGACGATGAACCAGGACGGCACTGGCTTCACAGTGGCCAACAAGAACTTCAGGAAGCCCACAAAAACAGATCTGGTGTATTTCGAGAACTCACCCGATTACTGCGTGATGGACAAGTCTGCAGGTAAATCCAGAGCTCAGGTTAATGCCCAAAAGCTGCTCTCCCTCCCCTAGGCAGGCTGAGGGGCTTGCATTGAGGGGGTGACCCAGGCCCTCAGCAGGTGTTGGTGCTCGCTGGGCCCCACAGCACCTCACACCTGTGCAGACAGGGCTGGGTTTGTCCAAAATCCCCACTTTACACCAAAAATCCAAACTCTCAGGCCTCTTATGTAGCATTTCCTCAGCAATTTCACTGCTGCTGGGGCAGTCGTATCTGAGGTCCCCATTGCAGATGCAGACAACCTGCGACCGCTGGGGCGTGGGGAGGATTTGGAGGGGATGGGGGCACACCCTGACCCGCTCTCGCTCCCTTCGCAGGCTCCCTGGGCACAGCTGGCCGCGTGTGCAGCAAGCTGTCGCGGGGGACGGACGGCTGCGAGGTGATGTGCTGCGGGCGTGGGTACGACACCATGCGCGTCACCCGCGTCACCAAGTGCGAGTGCAAGTTCCACTGGTGCTGCGCTGTGCGCTGCAAGGAGTGCGAGGACACTGTGGACGTGCACACGTGTAAAGCGCCCAAACGGGCCGAGTGGTTGGACCAGACCTGAAGAGACGGCGCACGAGGGGTAAAGGAGCCATTGCCGCCCCCCTTGCCATTTTTTTAAAGCCTGTGCCCCGAGGGCCCTGACGTTCTGGGAGCTGTAGTTCAACTGCATGGCTTTTATTTAATTAATGCTGCGAAGCACTAAAAAAGGACGACATTTCCCAGGAGGTGCTGTGGACCCTTCTGTCTGCTCAGCAAAACCAACCCCTACCAGGAGGGGTCTGCGATCCTCCCTTGAACCGTGGGACTGCCGCTGCCGTTGTCCTCCGCACAGGGACGGTGCCACCGCTGCGGACCTGGAGGGACCGAAGGTCGGGATGCGATGGCTGAGGAAACCTGCACCTCCCCCGGGAATTTACATTGCAGTAAAGTTTCACCAGTGAAAAACACTACTTCAGAATAATCCACTCTTGCCAAAGCATTCTTGCTTTTACTTCCTCACACGGCCGGAGGATGGGTGTTGTGAAGCCCTAAGACGGCTCCATGCTCCCTGTATCCCCAAAGCAGACCCCACTGAGCCAGAGCCACCTCCACCTGAGGTGTCCTCTGGTCCCCAGCGCGGGTGGCAGAGCTGGGAATGGGAACTGGGACCGGACCAACCGCACCACGACCAGGGGCACCCGGCCCCGGCACGGGGAGAGCAACCAAACCTGTGAACTGGCTGGTAGGTCCTGATGTCAAGGGATACAGCAGCGTCTCTGTAAAGCTCACCTGTATGTTGTGTATACTGCTCATTATTTTAAGTCAAAACACATTATAAACCTGTATCAGAAACTGATGTTCTTTGCTGTTTGAATTCCTCCACACCTCCAGGCACTGCCCCTGGCAGAGATCACCCCACAGCGTCCCCTCACCTGCATCCTGCGGCTCCCGCTGCCCCAGCACACAGAGGTCCCCACTGGGAGGTCCCCAGTGTCCCCCACAGGGCAGAGCCCCGCGGGATTCCTTCATAGCAGCAGCACAATCTGGGACAATCACAGTGCTGGGATGAGCGGGAGATGTGGGGTTGACTTCCAGTCCCTTTCTGTAAAAAAACCCAACCCAACCCCCCAAAACTTAAGCTATCAGCTAAAAGTGAAGCTGGTGAGAGGGGCAGGCAGTTCAGAGCTGCCAGTAGATGCGTTATGGAGCTCAGCCCCTCTCATCTCTAGAAACTTCCTCAATTCTTCCCCCTCCTGCCCCAACCTGGGCAAGCAGCAATGACAAAGATGCGTTATTTACAGATCTTTTATAGAGTGGTCCAAAGGTACCGATCCACACAGAGTTCATGTACAAGTCGGGCAGTTGAACCCACAATCCAAATTGACCCAGGCAAAAAGAATAAATAATTACCTTGATCGCTGCAGTTCCTGAGCGTGTGCTGAGGCCAAGGGTGCACTGGCACTGGCCTCCCCAAGCCCCAGCCATGCGGTGCGTTCTCCCCGACCCAGGACAGATGCTGTTGGGTTTCCCTGTGTCACCATCATGGTGCTGATGGGCAGGCGAGGATGTCTCACATGCCCAAAGCAAGTTTGCACGACAGTCAGAATCTTACAGCAGCAGGAAAGGGAAGCCTAAGGGGACATTCACCTGTAAACACTGGTACCTGGAGTCAGCTTCTACCTCGCTGTGTGCTCCAGGGTTGTGAAGACCCCCCAGGAGCCGGGGTTTCTCCCAGCAGTGTTGGGGTGTGCGGGCAGGGGAGCGGAGTGGGCGGCAGCGGCGATGTCCGGAGGTCAGAGCAGAGGGGATTAGGGCAGAGCAGATTAATTCTGGTCCTAAAAGCCCCATTTGCAGCTGCATGAAGAGCATCTCTGATCAGGGATTTTACCTAATGGCCCTAGGAAATATTAGTTTAAGTGGTGAGGAAAAACCACTTTGAAAACTGCTTTGATGGGAACTGCTCGAAGAATGTAAAGACTCTGCCATGGGCCAGGTCAGAGCTCGCTCTGGGCCAGACCACCAAGTCTGCTCGTGCAGAACAGGACCTTTGTAAGAGCCACGGACAAGCAGAAAGGCGATGTTTAAACAGCTCTTGAACAGGTACAGGGATCCCACCCCCTGCTGCCAAACCCATTTCTCACAGAATTAAACTGTCTCCTTTTGATGCACAGGAGGTTCCCAGCTCTTGGCCCAAGCCCCTCAAAGCCCCCTGCGTTTCGAGGCGATTTACCCCAAGGTTTGGTGGGTCCCCGCTGTGCTGAGGGGCGCTGGCAGGCAAGGGAGGCTGAGCCAGCCCCATCAGCACACACAGACCGATGGACCAAATGAACCCCCTCCGTTACCTCCATTACTGCTCCACCCACCACCAATTCACCACAGACCTGAGAAATGCTGCCCTTGCAATCAACCCAAACGTCCCCCCTGTGCGGGGCAGCTCCCAGGGCTGGGAGGGACCTGGGGACTGGGATCAGCCATCCACGAGCATCGCTCCCTCTGCGGAGGAGCCCCGGGAAGGGTCTCCCAGCAGAAACGTGGCTCCATGGCAGAGCTGCAGGATCCCTGGTGAGCAACACCTTCATCAGTCGCTGCTGCCAAAACACGTCAGCCCCTTGAATTCACTGTTCAGCATCTTAAAGGAGAAACCTCCCACAGACATGTTGTCCTGGGTTTATTGGCTTTCCCCCTTCACAATATTAGAAGTGGATGCCTTCAGCTCTCTGCAGAATAAGCACAGCCAAAAGGCAACCCCCGCAGCCATGCTGGGACCCCTGCCCCGTCACAGCACAGCGGTAGATCTGAGTGACAGCGCTGGGACGCAGATACTAGAGCCAGAGAAGCACCCAAGGAGCCAGGCTGGAGACAGCCTGAGCCCCCCAGCAGGAACGGGGAAGCGTCTCTTCTGCAAAGGGCTACGGCAACGCTCCGCTCAATCCTTGTTTATTAACAAGCAATTAGCAAAAGCACAGTGCCTGGCACTCAGAAATGCCCTCCTCAGCTGGAGACAGCTCCCAGTGCCAGGTGAGGTCCCGTTGCGAACTGAAGGAAACTGAGCCTGGTGTGTGTCTCCCCACAGCCGAGCTCCCCTTCACACTGGTCCTCAGCAGGCAGATGGTTTCCATCCACGGGCGTTTCTGATGGCTGCGGTCTCGTCAGGGATCGCTCGTTACTCTTTCTCTTAGGCAAATGCCTTGTCTAACGCATGCAGGGAGCCTTTTCTGCAAGGTGTTCTAATTATCCTCCAGTCAAAAGTATGGACAGGGCACAGGATTAATTGCTTAATGAGCTCCTGAATAAATTACCTTGTCTGAAGAAGCCAGACAGGACACACAGGAGGCAGAAGGCACTGGACACACAGGATCCACACAAATTGAGGGTATTTTCTCTACCAACCCACATGCGAGTGGGAGCAGGCCGGACCCAGACCACACCACCACAACAGATTTACCGGGGCATTTTGAGTGAATTTGCACAACCCAACCCATCCCATCCCGTCCCGTCCTGTCCGGCTGAAGCCGAGGGCCGCTCCAGCTCACAGCAGGGGGTCACAGCGCTGGAATGGCCGCGGGTGAGTCAGTGCAGGAAAATGCAATAGTCACACGCTGTGTCACGCTGTTTTATAACTGACCAGAGCCCTCCGCCAAATTAGAAATCAAGAGGTTTTCAGAGAAGGGCCCAAGCTGAGGAGGCCACGGTGCGATTGCCCAATGCGATGATCCAGAGTAAAAGGAAAATGTCATTGGCCAGCAATGACCAAACCAGAAGATCCCCAATGGAGCAGCACACTCATCCTCGCAGATGCACCCTCACCGATGCTGTCAGCATGGGTGTGTTATCGAGCTCTCCCCAGTGACCAGACTCGCCAAAGAGCCTACCAAAAAGCACAATACAACAACTGGAGCTGGAAATGAGGAAAATTCCAAGCACATGAGCTGCATCCCTGATCACCGTCCTCTTTGACAGTGCTAAGGGCTGGGCACGCAGAGCACGCCCCGCTCGGGGGGCTCAGGACAGGGAGGGAGCCAGGGCTGGACACCGAAGCTGCCTTCCCTCTCTCCACCTTTACTAAAACTGCCTTCCCTCTCCCCATCCTCACTAAAGCTGCCTTCTCTCTCCCCGCCCTCACTAAAGCTGCCTTCCCTCTCTCCACCTTTAGTAAAGCTGGGTGAATTCACACCACAGGAGGCTGAACACGAAGCCCACTGTGACTGCTCCTGTCACCGTGACCTGGTGTTGGTATTTTTGACCCAGAGGCAGATCAATTCTCGCACCCCCTGAGCCACACGGCCGTAACGCAGAGGAAGGATGGGACAAGTCCATCTGTCCCGACCAGCACAGGGCAGGCTGGTTCTGCTCAGAGGCTGCTGGGCTACGAACCCATCTCTCAGCCCCTGCTACCAACACTCCTCTGCTAACACAGCACCGGTGCACATCTGCTCCACAGCTGGACCCGCTCCCAAACCTTGGCACAGCCTCACATGGCTCCCAACCACACATCCCGTGTCTTTGGACAGGAGATGCAGCTCCCCTCCGCCTGTCACCCCAGGCAAGGGGAAGGGCAGCACTAACCGATGGCTGTCGGGGGGTCTCTCCCGTTTCACCTCTTCGGCTGCGGGCACCGGAGGCGGGTGATGCAGTTGCAGAGGTGCAGGCACTTGGCTCTCCCCCTCCCCCTGGAATCTTCCTCACTTGTGGTCCTTGGGATTCACCCAATGTTTCTCAAAAAAAAGAGGACCTCGAGACAAGTATGCATTTAATAAGCAGAGAGACAAATAAGCTCCAGTTATCCCAGCAGAATTACAACACCAGAGAACAATTTTCTGCATTCCTCTGAAGGCCTGAAGAACCCAATTGCCTGCTCTCAGCCTAAATAGGTACCAGACACCAAGTGCTCCATAAGCAAACAGAGCCCCCAAAGTGCAAAAATGAAATAAGTAAAAAGCTTCACATTACATATAAACCAGCCGTTTGCACCTTGTTATTAATGGTCTTGACTGTGACCTTTAAACCCTGCCTTGCTCAGAGTCAGGGATCCACGAGCCTTGGCACCCTCACGGCAACCACAGGGCGAAGAGCAGGGATAAACGGGCCCAGGGATGTGGGAAGGGAACCGGTGATGACCCCGCACCGAGCACCGCTCCACGCAGCGGCCACGCTGCTCCTCGACTTCACGGGCACTGAAGGGAATGGAAACCGGAGAAGTCTACGGACACCACACACGGCCTCGTGCAGAGGCGACTGCCATCCCTGGGGCTGTACAGCCGCCCCAGCGCGCGTTTCAGGGCAACAACCAATGCCTACCCATCTTGAGCCATCACTGTCATTTTTATAAACATATATACACATGTGCAACGTGACTGCCCGTGCGCTGCAGTGGTATCACCATGGCACGGATCAGGGGGCAAGCCCCTGCTCACAAGTGCCAAACGAATGCTCCCATAAAGCAGGACCAACCCTGCCAGGAACACACGAGCGCTCCTCCTTCCCCAGGAATTACGGCCCTTCTGCAGACAGGAAGATTCTCATTACACAGCGCTGCCAGCTCCGCTTTCAGCACAGCCCAGCCCCTTTCTGTCACTGCTGTGGCAGGGGAGGACAGTGAGAGAAAGCAGCTCTGGGATGATACATGGGAGGCAGCGCTTCATTTATAACCCCACGCAACCGCTGGAAAATGTTCAACTTCGAAAAGCATTAGGTTGGTTACCTTATGGGCCCCTGCGGAGCGAGAAGTGAAGCTACACGAACACAACATATCTATTAATCACTACGGTGATTCCAGGGTGAGAAACAGCCCCAGTGGCACACGTTCAACTGGAAAGAAAGTTGAGAAAATCACCTACTAGCAGTTAGGCAACTCAACAACATTTGGTGGTACCTTTCTGTAGCGCTCCCCTCTTGACTGCTCAGTGAATTCCAGTATTTCACTTGGATTAAAGCCCATCCAACAGAGAGCAACAATGGCATTTCTACCCAAACATGTGTGCTTTGTCAGCCAGAGTTACAAATAAACTGCATTTACACAGCACACACAGGTGAGTCTCCACTTCATGGTGCCTTGTTTAAAGGGTAAAGGAGGATCTGGAGAAGAAAAAAAGTCATTCTCTGTCTTCTGCACCAAGACAGATTGGAGGTCAATCCAAATTGACCTGTGATTGACTGATTTGGGAGTTACTGCAGAGAACAGAACAGGCTGCAGCAAGCTTCTTCCATCCAGGATTTAGAAACAAGAATAACGGACCCCACTTTTGACAGAAGCCATCAATGCCAGGGCTTACATCAATCCCTCACAAAGATCAGTGAAGATTAAGCGTGTAAAGTGTCCCTGGTTAGTATGTGTTTCTCTCTAAAATGTGCAATGATGGGCAAACTTTCACTGCTCAGAATTAGCATTTATCCACAAGCTGTGCTGTTTTTATCACTTTCCTGGAGCCCTGGCTAACGAGGCTCCACTGCAGCAGCAGGAGAGGACGCAGAGCTTTTCTGTAGCGGGGAAGCGGGATGGGGTCACTCACACCAATGACCTTGGCCACAGCTACCACAGCCCATTCCACCTCTGCCGTAATCAACCCCACAGCCGGTCCCGATGCGCGGCAGCGCCTCCAACGAGCTCCACACCTCGGTACCAACAACTCGAGAGTTCAGATCTCCCAAAGACCCCCATGCAGGTATCACAGTCACTTCCAGCAGTTTCAGAAACCACCCTGTTCTTCAGGGTACAGCGTTTTGAGAGACGCGACACGCACAATTAAATCTAAAGAAGTAACAACACGAAACAGAGGAGCTCACACCATTCCCTTACTTAATGCAAGCTTCTAGGATACAGGAGAAATAAATCTCTGTTTGCACACTATAATCTATATTAAACAGACGCTTAAGAAGTCAATAAATTCAATGTGTTAAGAAGCAACCTTTTAATAAAGAAAGCAGAACCATACTTTGCTGTTAACAAATATTTTGAAAAAGGCTTATAAAATTACATCTAAGCCAAATATCTGGTGCATCTGCAGCAGGGAAGGAAGTGCCAGTACTCCAAACATCTGCTCAGTTTGTGTTACAGAGGAAGTATGAGCTTCCAGTTGAACAAGTGATTAAGGGAGCAATAAGGTATTGCTCAACACAAACTATCTTCTTAGATGATTACAGCCTAAAGCCAAAGAAGAAACTGAGACGAGAAGCACCATTACCAACATGGAAGCCCGTCACAGATACCAGTTTGAAGAGCACAGCTTTCTTCCTTGCCCCCACAGCCAGGGGCTGTGACAACGACGAGACTGAGCCATGGTGGAAAGCTCCCCCCAGCCAGGCTGGAGCTGGCAGACACCGGACAGCAGAAGGACCTCGATGTTTTCTGTGATGACGGTGAAGGGGGATGAATCCCAAAGCACTGCAAGAAACAGAACACAACCACCACAAATCAGCTCAGTTTCAAAACCAACGGCCCTTTACAGGCTCCACGTATGAACAAAACCATCCCATACCTTTCCCTCAGAGGGACAGGGCTACGATCCCCTCAGCACTGATGCTGTTTAACATTAAATATTAGCCAAGACTCACAGAAGAAGAAAAAGCCCCGTGGGAAGCCACAGCTCCTCCCTTGTCCACTCACCCCGGCGCGGTCCGCTCAGCTGGGGGCCAGAACACTGGGAGCACTCACAGGCCACAGCACCCGCAGCACCTGGGGAGAGGCAGGGGGTCAGGACAGTGTTTTTAGGGGCTCCAGCACAGGACCCACAGTGCTGAACAGCCCAGGGAGGGTTTTCTGGGGTGTTCAAGCATGGATTAGTTACGGATCATCGACCTAAGGTGTGAAAACTGAACAGACCTGTGCTCCCAGACAGGATCCATACTCCAGATGCCATCTGTGCAGTTCCAGAAATAAAGATTAGGCTAAAACAAATGCTGCAGACTCCCCTGCACCTTCTCAACCCATCCCCCAGGTATTCAAATCACTGGGACCCGCGTTATCCTCGTACAAACCCTCTTTTCCCGAGGCAGCAGTGACAGCACTCATTTACTTTGAGGGTTTTACTTTGGCCCTCCTGGCTTCTATCATAACCTCAAATATTACATTAAAAAGGCTTTTAAAACATAACATTCGCAGCAGCGCAGGAGCTTTTCACTGCAGCGAGCTTCTTCCCTGCCTGTTTGCGTGTGGCACCTTCCCATTAAGTGCATGAGTTAAGATGTAGATTAGCACGGCAAGAAACCTTTGCCCTTGGCATCGACGCTGGGCTGTGACAGGAAACTGCAGGCTTTTTCCTAGGGAGCGCAGAGCCCCTCGCCGCACACTGGCAGGGAAGTGCACATCTCCAAACTATACACATTTTCTCTTAGATAAGCAAAAGGCTCAAGTGTTTATAAATATGAAAAGTTCAGCAGCTGGCTAAAAAGTTAATTCTCCAGTCTCACTTAATGAGCGCTGGGGAAAGTGGTGAGGGGGATTTGCTCAAAAAGCAGAGCAGTGTCACAGAAAGCAGGACCTGCCAGACGGGCTCTGCTCAGCCCTATTTTCGGTCTCTCAATGGCCGCTATCAACAAAATGGCAAGGAAACCTCTCACAGGGAGCTATGCAACAACCAGAATGGGAACTGTTTTCTCCTAATCTTGCAATCCACAAAAATTAGCCAATTTTTAATTTAAGTCCTATGACTTCTTTCTTTGTTGTGAAAATATCAAGCGATCCGTATCAAAACACTCTGGAGCATGGACTGTCTTGGGATTGTGTCCAATTCCCTGAGCACGGAAGCTGTTTTCAGTAGGATTTAGCAGGAACACTGCTGCAATATTTTGTTCAAGACTTTAACTAATGCTGGTCTATTCGAGTAGCATAAGATTTGGACTAATAAATGGGACTGATGTGCCTGGGAGGTAAGCGTGTTAGCTCTTCTCAGGGACTTCTGAGCAGACTGCCGATGGTGCCCGCTGCACCCCACACCTCCAGCTTTCCTGAAGGCAGACTTCTCAGTGTCTTCCCAAGATACTGCAGAAGGAAGTGTGCAACATCACTTCTGCAAGGTGACACACAGCCACCTAGTTCTCCACCTATGTAATTATTAAAAAATAAAAATGCATACTGAATGGCAAAGTAACCAGCCCCTTTTGTCTGCAGTTTCAGCAGAAGCTGGTTTATGCCACAGAGTATTTTTCAGCTTGCTCAGTGACGTGTATCAATTATTGTTATCCCTTTCATGTACCTCCTCTCTCTGTCACTGACTGAGAAACTTCTGAACAGCAACTATTTCAGAACAGCTGTGTCTGGTGAGCACGAGCAGAGCAATTCCCCAAGAGACCAAAAATCTCGCTGAAACCAACAGCCAGGCTGAGCTCTTACCCACAGCACACGTACCACAGGCTGTGCAGAGCGCTCTACCACCGCCTGTCCCAACTGCCATAGCCTCACCTGCTTCATCTCCCCTCCAAAGAACATTAAAAGTCCGAGCAGCAGAACCAACAAGCCACAGTCGGCCCTAGGCAGACCCATAAATACCGAGCTCTTCTGCCAGCATCAGTCCCTGGTACCTGCAGCCCCTCCACCTGCACCAGTCCCTGTACCTGCAGCCTCTCCACCTATACCAGTCCCTGTACCTGCAGCCCCTTTATCTGCCAGCACCAGTCCCTGTACCTCCAGCCCCTTTATCTGCACCAGTCCCTCTGTACCTGCAGCCCCTTTATCTGCACCAGTCCCTCTGTACCTGCAGCCCCTCCACCTGCACAGGACACCACACAGTGTGGCACCGGGTCCCGTTGGTGGCATCCGCTCCGAGGGAGCCGCTCGCAGCTGGTGCCAGCGCTCGTCTCCGGACGGTGCACTGCGCTGTGTACATTGGAACCAGCAAACGCTTCTCTGTGATTTTTGGCCACTTGGAATATTTTTAGCAATTCGCCAAGGTTTACCCTGTGATTTATTATGGAGGAAACAAACTCAAGCACTAACAAATGAAAATATGTAAACTCTGACTCTTCAAGTCAATAGAAAGGTATTCAGCTTCTTAAAACCCTTTAAAGGCATGCAGTTCGCTGGAGATTCAGTTGCTGGAAACATGAGTTTGATTAAGAAGCAACTGAAATGTGATCTAAGGAGTCATATTTAAGTCGCCTAGAGATGTACAGTGAAAAATTTCAAATACACAATACTTTGCAGTTGTCATTGCTAAAACTGTGTTCTAGATCTGCTGGAAACTCAACAATTCAACAATTTGTTGGAAATATATTTTGTATGGCATTTTCGCTGAGGCCAAAGCACTCCATGTATCTACCAGCTATAGCTTCATTACCTCAAATAACTATGTAATGAGTTAAAACACAGTATCAAAACAAAGACTTGAAATAATGGGGTACACTGAAACACTGAAGCAATCTGTAAGTGTCAGTTTTATACTGAGTATGATTGCTTCTCAAGTTTTCTGAATGCTTCTGAAAACATCAGGGATGGGATCAAGAGCACTGGAAAGATGGTATTTCCTTCTCAACTGTCAATCTCAGGGTATGAATACAGAATTCACCTCTTGTCTGTGTATCCCAATACAGTTTCCACTTCTGTCAAGTGAGCAGCAAGGACCCCTCTGTCTGTGACTGCCCCCGCTCTGACTTGGTTGGTGGAACAGCACGGCAATACGCACGCTTCTTGAGCATCTTTGCAGCTGAACAGACACCATCCATCCTTTCTATAGAAATTATCCAAAATAAAGACTGTGCCAATTGAGCAAACCCTGGGAGTTTTCTCCCCGCACTTGGACACGTCACTTGCCATTCAAAATGCCATTACGCAAAGCAAACTAACTCGCACAAAGTCTGTTTTTGGTTCAAGAAACCCAGCAGAGAACTTCACCACGCAATTCTTTGTTAGCATAACATCTGACCTTGTATCTCTTTGGAAATCACACAACTTTGCTAACGCAGCCCTTGCAGAATTAATCAAGCAGATGGTTAGAGCCCAGTTCCTATGAACCCAGCCAATCCCGAGCAGCACTGAAGTTTGTCACTGCCACGTCCAACTGCATTTTCCAACGTCAAGATCAGCAGCACCATGTGGAAATGAGGCCCCGCTCTCAGACCTGCAGGACTTGGACGCTGCAGACCAGAACCGGTAGCAAAGCCAATGCATTTAGGAACAAAGCATTCTTAGGAAGAAAGGTTTACCTCCTGCTCCATTACCTGCTGCACTAAAACTGCAAGAAAGCGTACGCCTTTCACCGCGTTTTGAGTAGCAAAGCTACAATAAAGGATGCATTTTAGAGTTCAGAGCTCTCTATCTGCCCCTCCGCTCTACAGCACGAGACCCACAGCACAAAGAAGGCCAAATACCCCGCATGGCCTAGGCTGAGAAGCAGGGGGGAAGCTGTCTGTGCTGTTTTTCCCCCTGTCAGTGGAACAGCACAGCTTTCAGTGTCCAGGGAAGATGGCAAAGGCAAAGCCAGCAGCAATGTTAACACAAAAGCAAGAAAAAGAACCCTAAAAAGAGCAGGACAGAGAGAGGAAGAAAGGAGACAGGCACCAAAGGCACCCATAGAAACAAATAGCTCAGCACGACATACTTAGATATATTTATATATTAGAAACGTATCTAGCTAAAAGCCTGAGGCTCTCACACTGCAGTCCTCCACTTCTAAGAGAATAAAATCCACACTCACCACAGTACTCTGTGGCAAAATTTCTCTGGTGCTGACATGCTGCTCCCTCACCATAAGAGTGCAAAGTAAAGCCATGGTATGTTACAGTAACAGTTCAACTTCTTGGCAAAATACACATTGTGCCTGAATTTCAGCAAGCCCTTGTCACAGATTAGAAATTACAAAGGAAGATACAATAATCTATGCCCCACGAGCACAAGACTGCCCAGAGCCTACTTCAGCATGGACCCCAAAACTCCCCAAGATCCCCGAGTGAGCCCCATGCCAGGGCCAGCACTCACAGCTTTAGCAAAGACGACCATCAGCTCAGGGAACTGGTGTGTGAGCAGGGCGAGCATCGCCGAGAAGGAGCACAGGCCCGCGGTGAAGTGGATGAAAAAGGGAAGCTCCTTCTGTGGGTACACGGAGACTTCATGAAATGCTGAAAGGAATAAAAACGGAGAACATCGGCATTTGGTAATTGAGGACCGCGTTCTGAATTATTTACAGTCTTTAACTCAGTTCTAGACTTTCAGGAGTAAGCGTGGACTCAAGACTATGTTAGATCCCAGAACTTAAACTTCTCCATTCTTTTCCACTACAATAAATGTTTTGATTATCAATAAATGATATCTTGCTCTTCCCAATCTTCTTTTTCACTTGTACAGGCTTTATTTTTGCAGCATTTCATCAGGCTTGGTTTTTGGTAATAATAAATAACCATCATGTTATTTATACATGCAAGGTAGCTCCTTAATACTGTTCACAAATGTCTGGTTGGTAGGCTACAGTAAATTTTTCGGAGCAGCTGACAAAGCAGACCTCAAAGAAAACAGTACCAGGACTAGGTTATAAATTCTGTACGTGGCAGCTCCTTGCAATTTCCAATGTGTGGTAACAAAACCAAGAGAAGGCAATCAGATGGGCTACGTGCTGGCACATGGAGCTTTCAGCACTCCAGACACTGCCACTGCTCACCAGGACCTGCCTGCTGAGCTCCCAGTAATGGGCTCTGAATGCCTGCAGCTCTGACTTCCATCCAATGGTTTTAAAGGGGTTTTAAATGAAGAAAAAAACCCAGTTTCTACAGACAGACATAATTATGAAAGGGCTGCACACTTCCTGACAAGCTGTTTTTAAAAACTAACAAAAGCATCAACATTTAAGCAAGCCTTTTTGGAAAACAAGAAAACAGAATTCTCCTTATTTTCCCTGTGTTTGTTTTTCATGTTGTACTTGTGCTTTTTGACCTGATAAGCAGTAAACTGAAGTCTGAGGGGGGAAAAAGACACCTTCCCCTCTCAGTGACTGTTTCCGAATGTCGGCACAAGTAAAGTTAGAAAAGCAGGTCCAGCAAAAGTGGGTTCTGCCATCAACTCATTAATGGCAAAGTGCTTGGGTTCTGTTTCACTTTTAAGTATAAGATTTTGGAGCACAACTAGGTACAACGTTTGGAGATCCAGGTCCAACGTCCATCAGGGATGTTGAACGTTAGCCCAGAGATCAGCAGTTCACCTCCATCCCACCAGCCCTGCCAGGGCACGATGGGTACGACAGCAACGCCCTCCTCTCCACAGAGCAACCGAAGAAACCACCATGCAACACCCTCTACACACTGTGTAGAAACTTACCTGATTTTTAAACCATGGAGCAGTGCAATTTAGGAAAGGTCCCAGCATAAGCTAGGAAATTGTACCAAAAAAAAAAAGGGGGAAGGATTCTTTTTGAAGTTGTTTTTCCTACATTGGGAAATTAAGATCAAAACTTAAATAGATAAGGACAACTAAAGACAATTCTATACACTCAGAGCCATTTGGGAATTGTTATGAGTTAGACCAATACAGGATTTTTGAGTCATTAATTTGGTCAACATGATTTTAAATAGATAAATTTTAAAAAATTAAGCGTCAAGTTTTCTCGAGGAAGTACTGCAATAAAAGTGTTAAGATGATTTTATTTATGGGTAGTTTTATATTTAAAACATAACAGGAATGCGTGAGTGATCGTGTTGAAATATCTGCATGTGTTGGTGTTTAATTATGCTGGGAAGTCTACAATTTAGGGTTAGTCGCTAACCAAGGAATTGCTTGTGCAATATCCTGCATAAGTGAGAAATGAGTAATTTAAAGCAGTCTAGGGGCAAATTTAAATTACACATTTTAAATATAACTTCAGGCTTTTAAACAGAAACACGTATGTGCAGTTTTCCTTTCCACAGCTGTGGTCTTGGTGGGTCTGATGGTGCTTTTGCAGTAGCGCTTTCCAGTCCCACGGGACTTGCATTTCTTCCCGATGCAGAAGTTCACCCCTAAAGGGATTCTATTAACATGCACCATTAACAGTTCAATTCTAATCTAAATTAATGCTATTTTGCTAAATACGATGAGCAGGGGCTGCAGCAGTTTAGTTTGTCTTACCTACAGAAAACATACATAGGCTCATAATAGCATAAAGTAATCTCGAAATAATGGGCAGCTGAAAATGACCGACTTTTCAGTGTCAAGCGTTGGTATAAACCCATAAAATACCTGGATACATGTATCCAATACATGGACAGAGTTCTAGGAAGTGCACTGACGCACAGACAAGCAGGTACCAATGAATTAACGACAAAGCAATACACATCCCATGAACCTACAGATGAACCAAGGACTCTGCAAGATCACAGAGAGCTCCTGCTTTGTACCTGAATGCAGGACCGGGAACCACGCATTCATTCCTTGCTAAAAGGAAACTGCTCCTCTGCAACACATGCCAAATGCCCCGCTTCTTTCAGAAGCGCTGTAAAGAACTGGTCCGTGGTGGTGTTCTCAAAGTTGGCCAAACTTAGTCTGGGTGTACCACACACAGACCTCATCTCTGAAGGACTTGTTATTTCAGAATCAAGCTGACATCTACCATGCACATACGGCAAGTGCTGCAGGGTCGCTTGGGAGGGACATCAACAAACAGCTGAATGCCCTTCACAGGGAGCTCAAACTGAAAAACCACAGTGAGGTAAATACCGAATACCACAAACTGAGCATGTCCTTAGCAATGTTTTATTATCATTACTGCTTAGAAACCACTTACTTGGCAACAGTTCTCTGTCTGCTGTTTCTGTGCAACTCGGATAGGGATAGAAAAGATGACCTTTCTCTAACGGGTATGGGATCATCCTAAATGCTGAAAGAAGAGTGAGCAACATTAGATCCATATCTAAACCAAGCGACAGCTTCTCACAAAGAGAACCAATCGTGTTCAGGGTGAATAAAGGCAGAGATTAGCCTACTGTACAGAAAAAAATAAATCAAGGAGAGATACTTACTGCCTTCCCACGTGCAGTGAAGCAGATTGAGAGCCCCCTCTATCCTCTTCCAGTGCTGGAGGTGGAAAAAAGCATAGGCTACTGCCTCGCTGTCCCCTCGCTTCAGAATATGCTCTGGAGGTAGCACTAAGCTTTTCATTTCTAGCAAATACTGAAAGCAAAAACAGAAAGCACACTTGTTTACATGGAATATTGCAATTTTTTAATTGTGAAATGTAAATGATCATTTGAGGCACAACTCATCACGTCACCCAGGGCTAACTCCTGCCTGCTGAAGGGACAGCCCAGTCCTGACCCCGCACTCGCGTGGGATGGGAGAAGCAGCAACTCACGTCTGTGTATGGGACTTACAGTGGGGTTTGCAGTCACAAAATATCAGGGCAAAAAATGCATCTTCAGTAAGGCAAAATAAAAATATATTCTTGTGGAATACACACAAAGTATAACGCTGCAGGTACAACACCAATGAGCTACAAGGTTAGGCTAATAAAAAAACCCACAGAGTTATATTTTTGCTCAGCATTTCTTCACTAAAAATGCCACTATAGGAGGCAAAGTCTCGTTAGCTCCCATGTATGAGCAGCAAACCAGAAAGTGCCAGTGTGCTGACCAAAGGAAGGACAATAAACCAAACCCAGGAAAATCTTGTTTTGATGTGGTTTTGCTGGACTACCACAAAGAATCTCTGATTTCAGGTTTTTTCAATTTCAGCCTTCTCCCTACATCAGCACAATGTCAGAATCTCTGATGCGCAGAAGGGTCAAAGAACACCAGGATTAATCATCTGCAACTTCCCTTGGAACACAGGACGTGCAATTTTGTGTTTGCATGGTACATTAAAAAAGACAGGTATTCATTTTAACTTAGCTTTTAAAAGCAGACGAGTCATTTTTACAAGAATGAGCTGACGGTTTCAGCTCCAGAATTTACCTGCGAGTTGTTGTCTCCTATCATACAATGTCTCCCTCAATACCAGCCAGAGTTAATCCATGTCTTTGATCAGTGTAGCTGGCAATTCCTTTGACTGTCTCCCGAAGTGTAAGAATGCAGCTAACTCGCCGATTTATTTCAGCAGATGCCACAAACTATGAGATTATTTACTAATCCAGTTTGAGGACTTAACTTTTCCCATTCAGATTCTTGAAGGAATGTAGGAGGGGTTATGCCCTGGCCAAATAAAGCACATTTACTGCCTGGCTAGGTTCTTCTCTCAGTGCCTTGGGCCTACACTCCGGAGGGTAATATTCTTGCTAATCCCCTCTAATCCTCTTCAATTTTTTTAATTTTTTTTTGACACAGTAAAGGATCGCTCACACGGGGCCGCTGTGGGAAAACGGTCTCGAATATCTGACCCCTGACCCGCCCCCTGCTCCCCGCAGCGCCCACCTCTGCACCGCGCTGCCCACGCCCAGGGCGAGGGACGGCGACACAGCCCCGGTGCCACAGCCCAGCACTGCTCGACTGCAGGCTCTGGCATCTCTGCACCCACCCTACCCCAAAACCAGGACAAATCCACAGCCTGGTGGGTGTTCATGGCCGTGGTTAACCATAGCACAGGCGAGGTATCAGGACTGAAAACATCCGGGCTTTTGTAGAATTAAGGAAGGGCTTTCTACACAATAAAAATGTGTAAGATACTCAGGTGGTTGGAAAAGATTGTTCCATACATTACCAAAATGTAGTTACAGATGTCTAACTTGAAATGGCTTAAGAGCTTTCTAGCACTGGAAAATGCCTTCCTGACTTTCCAAACAAACCCATCCTTGTAAAAGCATAACTCGGAACAAAGAGAAACAAACATTATTTTATTTTCCTTATGCAAAATGATGCTATGTGCAAAGACAGCCCCTTTCATCAGACGCGAGAACAAAGGGATTTCTACTTTACTTACTCATTCATTTTTAGTCCATGGGACAGAACAGACGGCAAATTCAAACCCAGACTTTCTTCCCCACTGTAGCTCACTGGGCAAGTTATTCACCTGTTTGTGCTCTTGTTCACTTGTTTGCTTTGACTGTGAGCACTTTGGAGCTACAGGCAGCCAGCACCAATAAAATTCTGCCCTGCTAATAAATTGGTGTCTCAAGGCAATACTGTCATAAAAAATTCCATGAAGAAGACTGGCGAGGAATACAATGAGAAGATCAAATTACTGAAGCCTGGAATCAGTTTCTGTGCTTGTCTGCAGAACTATGGAGCGTATTTTGCAAAGAGTCCATTTGAAATGATATCTAACTTCTTCAAAAAGGTATATGAGGCTCCCAAAACAACTGAAGGATACACAAAATAAAAGAACTTTTAGATAATGATAAAGCGTTATAATCTTCTTCCCCTGAAGGCAGAGGCTAAAGAAAAAGCTGTCTGAGACTGTCTGAAATGAACTTGCTACGCTCTTGATCAGTCATGCACACAAGCAGCAATTTCTGCCAGCAATTAGCTTTCTCGGTGCACATTCTATTGGATTGGACAGGCAGACAGAGCAGAGCGGCCGGAGAATTGGAGCCTTCACAGCAACAGCCACTCGGGCTCCACCGTCATTTGCAGAGGATTAGGCCCAGGACTAAGCCAACCTCTGCACTCAAGGTTTCAGACTGAACGCATCCCAACTCTTGTACAGTAAAGAGGAAGGCAGGGTTTGGTTTTCACCCAGTGCTCAGTGGGATCTGCATCTTGGCCGCTTCAAGCAATGCCAGACATTAAATTACAGCCTGTAGCAACACTGACTCTTAATCTTCTTTACGCATGGATGAAGAAAATAGGTAACTGTAATCTGTCAATAACCCGCGTTCTGGAGCCACGCTTCAGAGCCCAGCAGCATGAAGTATTTCGAAATACTACGAGCAATTATTGTTTGGAGAACTTAGTTTGGCTTCAGAGATTTTTAGTATCTAAATTTATAATTACTAACACTTACCCTTACCCAACAAAGGGCCTCCGCTATTATTTTACTGGATTTTCCAATGAGTTAGAAAATTTTGAAGGGTTGCTTTTTGTTTTTTGGGTTTTTTTTTTAAACCCAGTTTAAACATCACCTATTGCCAACAAACAATTCCGGCCACCAAAACTTTATGGCACAAATACCAGCGTGTCTAACAACTCAATGGCTGGAGTTACTGCCGCCTTCAATAAAACACAGGGCTCGAAAGGCTCAGGTGACAAGGTGATAACATAACATGACTTCTTTCAGAAAACAATAAAAAGTGGTCTAACAGAAAATAAAACATCCCTACCTTTGGAACATGAGGGTTAAATTCCACCGCTCTGTGAATGGCTTCCACAGCATTAATTTCTGCCGTACTGAGCCCTCTTTTGGAGGCAGTTTCTGGGGAGAACCTGAAGGCAAAGGTAAATAATAAATGTTATTCAGGTGTTTATTTGAGTTGTAAGCTTAGAGTTCATTAACAATTGGCTGATATATCAAGAAAGATAAACCCTTCTAGGAGGCAAACATTCATGTTAATTTAGGTATCCTGACTGTCATCTGTGCCCATGTGACAAAGTTATGTTTAACTTTTTGAAACATCATGTCAATCACATAACAAAGTGTTCAGTCCTTCCCAAGATGGTTACAATGTCACCTGCTCCAGGGAACGCCAGAATCAGCTCAGCAGACAGCCCAGGACAGAAAGGAAATGCCAGCATGAGCCTCCAGAAATACCCCACACCCAACCCACAAAACACAGGGCTGCT